AAAAAAAAATGTTGAAGAATAATAGAAACAAATCTTAAAAAAGAACTATAAAGAACTTATTTTTTTTCTCAAAGTAAAAATTTATTTTTAATCCTACTCCATTTACTTTCTGGTATTTTCTTGAAAGTTGGATTATTATAAAACGTATTTAAATAATCGAAATAAATCATTCAAGTTTTAGTAGACGGAAATAATTGCAGGGTTCTATAATAATGTAAAAAATCATATAAGTTATGTGGTTAAATGATTATTTTACATTATATATATACATAAAATAAATACCGTAAAAACAAAAATAATACAAGTCTAAAAAAAAGGGATTTTCTTTCTTTTGAATGAGAACTACTATCACATAATTGGACAAGAACAAAAAGTTTGTAAGATTTTAAAAAATTATTTTATTAAGTTTCCAGAATTTGAAACTGGCTCGAAAGTTACATAACAAAACACCAAAAATAGTAAATTTTTTTCAACAATTATTTTTTAAAGAAAAACCTAATATTATTCTATAAGGGATAAATAAAACAATCAGAAAAAGAAGGTATAAAATTTACTTTAAAAAAATTAATAATTAGAAAACAATGAATACCTTTAAAAATCTTTGAAGATACTTATCAAGATATATATTATAAATGTGAAAGTATGTTTGGTAGTCTTTAACGGAAAGGATTTTAATGAAACTATACAATAATATATCTTATACATCAGAATAACACATAGGCTATAATTTACAAAGATGTGTGAAGTTTCCAAAATATCACGATAACTGTCAAGAAAGTAGGAGGAAAAAAATTCTGCCATCTACAAAAAAGCCCGATACAGCATACATCTATCTTTTTTGTATGAAGCAAAGCTTTCCATTTGTTTTGTTTACGCCATGCCTCAATGCGCGCTCGTTTTCAATTTATTCCGTTCATCAGTGTAAACACTATTTTTTTTATTTCATAATAAAACTAGATTTCAAAGGGAGAGGTGGTGGCAAGATTTTAACATAAAATAAATATAACAAAAAGTAATATTAATGTATTAGACTTCCAGATATAAATTATTTACACTACTTTAAGCGTTCGTTACACAAAATTTGTAACAATGACAGTGGAAGGAAAAACTATGAATTTAAAATAAAATATCAAAATGTTTTTATCAGACAGTTTTTTTTAAATGTTTTTTTCAGTACATGTAATTATATATCTAGGCTTTCCCCCATACTGTTTTTTTATAACTTGCATATATATATATATATATATATATATATATATATATATTGTAGTAGCGTTGGCCGGTGTTGGTATTGTCGTCATATACCTGATTTAGTGAAAACATCTTCAGAATTAATTTTCATCTGATTTATTTGCACACACATAGCGTAGATAGTCAATCACTTTTATATTTCACATCTATTTGTTAAGAACACGAAAATAGACACATATAACAGAAGCGACATTTTGACGGACACAACACAAAGACAAAAAGAGCGATTAGAATAGGCATTTTTCTTTGGGCATCTGGACTGTAAAACAGTCCTCAATCCTATATCGTGACGTCTTTGATGCTGGGCATGTCAAAAGTGGTGTTTTCCATTCTGCTGAGTGGCATAACGATTGGTCGAACGATGGGATACGGGAGGCGTGGCTATGGTGCTTCATCTGGGCTAAAAAGTTAGGAGTTTTTTGGCTTGGGTGAGAGCTTAGAGGCTGCTCTCTGATTGGTTGCTGAGTACAGTGAACAGTGACTCCAATTGGCTGAGATTTAGACATTCGGGAGACGCTTGTCCAGTGGGGTAGTAAGGAATTAACATTGACAAAATTTTAAAAGAAAGTAAAATTTTAGCTAACTATGGTGCAATAAAAAATTTATTGCATGAAAATTAAAGAGAGCGATTACACAAGATTTTTTGCTTTTATACTGGCAATGGCAAGCGTGTGATTATTACGTAATAGTAGTTCTGATTGGATAGAATGGGTGGGACAGGGAAAGAAACCTGTTTTAAATCGAAAATATGTGAAACAAATTTCGAAAAAGGGAAATTTAATGAAATAATTTTAGAAATCACTCACATTGCGCGCGTACAAACACACACACATAATTGCTGGCCTCATGAGGGAAAGAGAAAGCCCGTACAACGCCGGGCCATGCAGCTAGTAAGTTTATATACTGATACAGTGGAAAAAACACTAAAACAGCATGGAATCGGACAAATATCTCCAAATTTTTCAGCCACTTTAGTTTATAATTTTTTTATCACAAAAATAGATACAACTTCATGCTTGAAGTCTCTAAGGAAGGTTGCTTAAGTAGTGGTTAAAACACTATGCCCTGCTCTACAGGCTGAAAAAATTTATTAAGATCAACTACAGAAGTTTCCCATAATATACTTAGCTTAGAGATACTTCGTACCATAAGTTTCCACACTAAACGGTACGAAAAGGCAATGCATAAAAAATCCTTCAAATACAAAAAAAAAACCCGCATGATTTTTTTTAATTCTTACTATTAGTTCACACTCTCCCTATATACATTTCTTTATATATATCTTGTTTAAATTTTCAATCGTTAATAAAATACTTTTTATTCATCCACTCAAGTTAAAACAAATTTTTTTAAAAAATTGTAGTGGATGACACTTTTTGTTAATGCAGCTTTTCAAATATTAATTCATTAATTCTCTTTAATTAATGAATAAGAAGTAACAAACAAAAATAATAGTCCAACACCACACATAAAAAGGAAAATCGCTTGCTGAATCCTTGTAGTGCAGTGGATAGCGCGTTGGACTTCTAATTTAAGGGGCATGGGTTCGAATCCCACCTGGGATGGCCTCATTTCTGAGAATGTGATTTCTTTTTTACTATACTATTTTATTGGAACAATTAAATTTAATTAATAATAAAATAGTAACAAACAAAAGTAATAGTCCAACACCCTATATAGAAAGGAAAATAGAAAATTTCAAGGAAAATCGCTTTCTATTTTGCCACTTAATATTGTGATTCTGTGTGTTACATGTATAAGCACATTTATATTAATTGTAATTATTTAATAAAAAGTAACTATAATTAAATTTTTCTTAGTTGACCTAAGTAGGAATTGACTTGAATTTTTGTTTTTATATTACTTGTTTATTAATAAAATATTTTACGATAAAACTCGCGGTTGATTTCATATAACTCAAGTGCTTTACATGCCATTCACATTTCATAAGAAAACACATTTCATATAAAGCAACAAATCTAATCTGAAGAACTACTGCAATGAAAGTAAGATAACTTTAATTGTCCTGCTAATAATGATTAGCACTCACTTGGACTCTTGAAATAACGAAAAGAATAAGCTAGATAACGCAAATTGTAATTAATCTCATTAGTTAACTCTGGAAGCATAACAAAAGACTACCTCAGACTCCTTTCATTCAATTACTCCAATAGAAGAGTCTTCCCTTTAATCTAATCTAATTTTCCAATTTAGGAATATGGAGAGTCCGCCCTTTATCAATAATTCAATTACCAATTGAAAAATAAACTATATTCTTCTAGCATTTAATTAAAGTTTTAAAAAAAATCGCCAGGTAAAAGTAGCATGCAATGTTTTAGACAACTTTCAAGAGAAGATGAATATATATTTAGCTAGAATATACAGATCTTTCTGTCCAAGTATTAACTTGATCAAGAATGGCGAAAGCAAAGGTTTCAGGTAACATGCAGTACCTTGATATTAAACAGATTGTGAAATTACCCCCCTAGTGTGCCCTTCTTGATTATTAGCGTGAGCTAGAGGTGTAGGATTAATAAAAGAACTAGGAGAGAGAGAGATTCCATGATCTTAATTAGTCTTTATTAAGACCTTCAAACTTAAGCCTTTAACAGATTAGATAATAATATATGTGAGAGAATCTACGATGACAAAACACACAATGTAAATAATACCGAAATAACGTAACTCGGACCACTAACAATAACTAACTCGCCTAAGCTCAATTCCAATAATATCTCAGGTCCTAATATTAAATAGTCAATCCTACCTTAATCCGATCACCGATCCAATTTTAAGGAAGTTGTGTATTTACTCGAGTGCAATGGTATGCACCTTGACCTAATAGCTCTATCTTCGGAATAACCTCTGTTGGCTGTCGCTTCACAATTGTGTGTGAATCACGCACTCTTATAACATTCCCCAAATTGCCACAGATTGATTGATTGATTGAATATCAACGTCGCACTGTTCAGCTACACGAGGGCTTTTGGCGACGGACCACGTCATTTTGAACCATGGTCAAGTGACGTGGACGACACCTGAGCTGGCACCCCCCTCTCCTAACTACTACACCACACCAACGGAGGACGTTTCAGCTCTCGACAGATTTAACTTGCATCGCTGCCCTACACGGCGGGTCTTTGGTGGTACTGGGCTCTAACTCGTGACAAGGCAAGCCACGATCCGATACCTATACCACTCAGCTGCCGCGGCCACCCCAAATTGCCACACCGCTTACTCTAACTTCTGATAGTTAAAAGCTTTCTAATTTGCATCTTTTATTCACGTTTCACTTCTTGGGTTTTGGTTGGAAAAGAGTTGCCATTAATTCTGGAACCAAAAGAACCCAAATGACATGTTAATGAAAAGACGCGTGAGCCCGTCACAAGATAACGCTTTGAAAAATTTCAGATAATCAGAACATGGCTTAGAAATTCTCGGTCTACAATTGAATTCCGGAAACAAATTAGTGGAAATAAAAATCCAATTCAACTTAATTTTCAACAAACATACGGAAGTAAATTACTATTTTCTGTGATAATACTGGGCAAATTGAAGTATCTTACAAAGTGAGTTATATTAACGTCGCACTATAAAGTAATACGATGGTCATTGGCGACGAACCTCGTAATTTTGAACCTCAATCAAGCGATGAGGGCACCTTCCTCGACAGATTTAACATGCATCAGACCCTGTACACTGCGGGTCTTCAGTGGCATCAGGCTCAAACTCGTGGCACGTCAGCCACGAGCTAGTAACTATAACCACAAGTGCTATATACCGCAGTGACAAGCATCTTGCTAATCTTATAAGCCAACATCTCATGGAATTAACATGAAGCTCTGACGATATATTTTTCCGACTTACAAAATGGAAGACGGATGTATGCATTTTTGAAGTAAGAGTTATTAATGTAAAACTAAACTCAGTGGCGCAACAGCCCATGAGGTCCAAGGCCTACTGTGTCCATCTCAGTTTTCGTGACCAAGGGCGTTGAGGTGCATGAGTAGATGTTCCAGGCAGGAGGTCAGCCCAACGCAAAGAGTCATTAATAATAAAACTAATTTTGTAACCTGGGAATTTGATTAAGTATCAAGAGCATATTTTTCGGCTTATATTTACTTTACATCAGGGGTGTTAAACTCAAAGGCTAACTTGGGCCAAGCAAACAAGGTTTAACTTTAGCTGGGTCGAAAAAGCAAAATCGATATTCATAGAAACGCAAGTTTAATTCAAATAATACATTATAATAAACATAAATAAAAAAAGCAAGAACAATGTAATGTTAACATCCCGACACTTGACATCTCTTCTCTTCTACTGCCTTTCCTACTTCGAGAGAAAAATTTTGATATTTTATTTTATATTATTATGAACCGATATACTGGCCGGGCCACAAGTATCTTCGTTGTGGGCCGCGAGTTTGACGCCCCTGCTTTACAAGTTTGTATCTCTGGGATTAATGAAATTTATTGTAACTAGTAGAGTAAAAATGGGGCACACACGAAAAAATAATACTGCATTTATCTTACAAAATCTTAAAATTCACATAATAACTCTATTGTATAAATGTGTATATGTAACACTAAAAACGTAAGTGAAAATGTTATTCATGTGTGTGTGTGTGTATCTCCAATAGTTATCAAACATGTTCTCTGCAGTAATTTGAATTTCTGTCTAAAAACTGAAATATACACAGTGACGAGAGAAAAAGTCGAAATATAAGCTCTAATATGTAACTCATATGTTTGAATAAACAGTGACAGCATTAGGTAACACCAGCATAGAACAGGAAATTAATGTTAAGGTATACTACACAACGTCTATGCGACTAAGAAATTACAGACTGACCGCAAGCAGAACTCGTGCCGGACTTTTAATGATTTCAGAACGTAGAAGTTCAACAGGTTACTATCCATTGTTTTAATTTTGTGACGGAAGACTCGTGTTGAACAACACAGCATCATATTCCAACATACGGGCGTTTCCCTGTCATTGGTGATTAATGATTCGAATTCAAGGAAGAGTGCCTATTTAATGTTACTAGTAACATATAACACAGTGGACAGTTTTAGAAACTTTCTGCACTCATAAATATTTATTGTTTAGCCAAGATATATTATAATGCCGCAATGTTTTTAAGCAATTTTATTCTGTTTAGAAGACAAAGATACTAATTGCAATCAATTCTGAATAAAGACAACATGCTTGCAGTGCCTAATATACGGGAGAAATCTAGAAACCAACATGTAACTAAAGTACATGTTAAATATGAGATTGGTAATTGCTCAAACGTGTAACATTTCTGTTTTTGTCTTTATGTATAATAGCTTCTACAAGAAAATCATTGACTCAATTCATAGATTTTACAAAAAATAAACAATGTTATAGAAGTCAAGTGGGCAATTTGAAGTAACGTGTTGAACAAATATCTAGATTTGATTCCGGTATTAAACAAAATATATAATAGCAGTTCCGCATTGTATTCTTATTATCCTCATAACGTTCTACTTCGTGTATATATATATATATATGTAATAATTCCCTCTAACATACTTTTAAATTAACTCTTTAATGATCTATAAATCTTTAATTCGTAGGTTTAAAAATAGACATTGTAATCTTAATCGTAATCGGCAAAACCGAAATTCCTATCCCGCGCATTCTAGCCAATCAGAACTACTATTTCGTAATAGTCACGCGCTTGTGCACTGTTGGTATATAAACACAAAAATCTGATGTAATCGCTCTTTTTTTCTCTGCTTGCCGCCATAATGTAAGACAGTAAATACTTGCTGCTTTCTTTGTCTTTGAATTGTGTCCTCCAAAAAATGCCACTGTCTATTCAATGTGAACATGTAACATAATTGTGCTTTAATCTGCTGATGTGTGCTCATAATAAAGGAGGTAAAGCTATTCTGAAGACGTCGTTTTCATAAAAAATGATAATCACATACACCGGCCAACACTAAATCAATATAATACATATATATATATATACGAAGAATAAAATATGTGTATATAATAAGATATATGAGAACATACATGTGTGTGAGTGTGTGCGCGCGAGAGAGAATATATATATATAGTGAGATTGGATGTTTTTGAACATGTTATAAGTAAATAAATTTCCAATATCTTTAAAAAGTAAATATCTTAAAAATCTTTACAGTTATTATGAGTGCATGTGTGCTAACTTATACAAAAAAAGTTTAATATAAGCAGTATATAACAGAGCAATAAACATAATTTCTTTAGTTGTTAAGCTATTAATATTCTTCCCACCGCGACAGTATTTTTACAAGAGTTAAGGAACTATTGACCTTCAAAAAGCAATGAAACAAAGCTGATGAGAAGTGCTTGTCTCTTTAGTTTATGCAAAATATAGTAGACATATTAATCGATTCAACATTTGAACTAGGGTCACATCAAAACTCCCCAGTTATTTACATGATGAAGTTATTTGACCTTATACATACTTTATCTTTATGATTTCATACCTGTTTAATAAATTCATGAATTATGTACTTTGATAAGGCATACTGGGAGCTACTGTTGTCCCCTC